CAAATGTTGTGTAATCCATTTACTAGCAATGGTTGTTTCTCTGCGTTCACAGTTCTTGCTTTCAGTAAATGTGCCACAGTATCGTTTATAATATTTAGAGTATAGTTGAGAATGTCTAATGATTGTGTGAACATATCCAGTTTGTTTAGTGTTAGTGGTTTGGGTTATTAAGTTATGGATTGCATAGAGTAATTTCAAGATGTGCCAATTTTTTCATCCATGCATGCCTTGTGAACTTTCAACAGAATATCAAGTGTAGTCTTGGTATTTCATTGACAGTAGTGCTTGAGGTTATTGATTTTCTTTTTATTATAATGTTAAAGATCAGTTGGTTATTTCTTATGCATCCCATGATGTATTTACCAGCATCCAAGGACTAGTTGGTATTTTATTGCATTTGTGGGAACCCCCACATACTAACACGCAGCTTCGTCTGTCTAACAGACAGCATTCAACTTCTGCTCAAGCCACGTCAATGTCACATTGCTGCCAGCACTCGATGTCCAGCCCACCTGTAGATCATCACGTGCGCTAGTCATTCAGCGCTCACAATCGCAACTGAAACTTTAGCTCCACCCAACAAGCATGGTATAAAAGGCGGAGCTCAAAACTCGCTATAATCAGTTCTTCTTCGATCGTCCTCACTACGAAAAAGACAGCTAATGCAGCTACTCTGATGTCACGAAGCAGCAACAGCTCTCCAGAACTCACGCCGAGACAACAGCTCAGTCATCATTCACACCATAGGCAGCTGTTCCTACCGGCGCATGCAGCACCGCATCACCGGCCAGCCAGACCAGCTGAACGACCGTAAAGTAGACCTGGTCTTCTACAAAGCAGCAAACGCTACTAGCGCAAGCACAGCTGAACAAACGGCCCTTTTCAGGACACGCAAACTTGTGAGCATCTATTCTGTACATTCGAGAATAACATATACAATTGTTATGGTTTTACGTGGTTGTCTCTTAGAACATCGACATCCCACACATTTATTGTATAATATCATGTCTCCATGTAAAAAATGTTGCCTATGTACATCCCTGCTTACTTCATGGATTTCTCTTTTTTTGGAATTACTTGGTTGCTATAAACATATCTTAGTACACTGTTATTTTTCAATAGCCCTATGTTCACAATTTGTGTCTGTAACATATTACCTCTCTCTTCTAGATGTGGAGCTGTAATCGCTTGTGATGGTCCTGTCATGTATAGTAGGATGTCTGCATGTTGGTGGGCTGTTGATGGTTGACCTCTTTTCTTTTTTAGCAAAAAGAATTTACAAGCCAGATTTACCAAACTGTAACTCCTTTTCAAGATATTTTCCCTTTACAATAACACATTTTCTCCATTATGCTGGCAAGTTACTGATGCAAGCAGCATAAAAGGTTCAGGACACCATGCTTGATTTCATCATCAGATTTAAATGTTTGTTCTTCTAGATGCATTTTCATTGGTCCAAAGAAATGAAAATCAGTGTGGGGGCTAAGTCTGAGCTCTAAGGAGGGTGGTTCATGATTTCCCAGCTCTTTGCTGCCAATGTCACCTTTGTCAAATTTGTCACATGTGGATGAGCGTTGTCATGAAAATGGATACTTTATTTGGAAGTTTTCCAGGTCTTATGTTCTAAATCGTTTGGTGCACATCGTTTTGAAGCAAGCCACTGTAATACTGTGCATTAATTTTCACACCATGCGGAAGAAACTCGAAATGAATCACTCCTTCTGTATCCCAAACCACACTCTCCATGGTCTTGCCAGCTGACAGCTGTGTCTCAAATTTTTTAGGTGGTGGAAAGCCTTGCAATGTCATTCCATGCTGGACTGCGTTGACTCTGCCATGAAGCAGTGCACCTACATCTTGTCACAGGTCACTGTTTGATCTAGGAATAGGTTTTCCTTCAATTGAAGTTGATGCAGATGTTCAGCAGACATGGCAACATTCCGTGCCTTCTGGTCTAACTTCATCGCCTTTTGAACACACTTGCGATACATTTTCTTGAGCAGTAAGTGTTTGTGGATAATTGTTTAATTACTTCAAATATTATGCACTGAAACTCCTGTTTCCCAAAATCAGCTATTTGACATGGTGAATGTTCACATCTCATACAGTTGTTGCTGAATATGAGTATGAGGTAGGTTCAAGACTTGTTTACAGATTCCCCCCAAAATTACTGTACCAATCTTAAACATTTTTATGTGGCAGTGTCTCTTCACTACAAAGAATTTCTGCTGGTTTCATTTCCTCTTCCACAAGAAATTTCATGATACAGCACTGTTCTACAGTATAAGTGACAAGGTTTTGAGGCCATCTTTTGTTAACTATAACATGCACCAGTGTGGTGAATGGCCACATACTAGGCTGTGAATGCAATGTTTCCACCAGCTGCCCAAGAGTTTTATTTTTTTGCTGTCAATGTCATGAGGAAAATAGTCCAGGCTAACCATGAACCACCCTTATATAATGGGTGCTGTCACTAGTACTTGTTAGACTGTACTCAGTGACTTCCAAATACGAACTGAGGAATCACTGCATTTTGTAGTGAGAACCGTTTGCTTGCATCTCATATTGCTGGGTGAAAATGGTGGGGTGAAAGATGACTTCAGCATTTGAATGCACAAATCGGAGTACCTCATGGTAGCCAGGAGTACTGTCTACTATCAGGAACACTCCCTTCTGTTTCAAGTACTGCTTGACATCTGGAATGAAGGCAGGAGATTTTTGTATTTGTATTTGTATTTATTATAAGTTTAAGAGATCCAAAGATGGATATAGAACATGTCATAAAATAATATAGAACATAGAATACACGGTGTGTCCAGGATCCGTCAGAACTTTTTTTTTTTTTCCAATGCCATCTGTTGGCAAGTTGTGGCCTTAAGATTCTTGAAGGTTCAGCTGTGGCTGTCTATAATTTCAAAGCACATCATGTGTTCTGACCTTGAATGTAACAGTACTGTTATGAAGCATGTCATAAAGTTTAGTGCTTTACTTATGATTTCAATTATATAGACCCAAACAGTATTCTCCCTTATACCTTGTTTGTATGCAGTAGCAGTTTATGTGCTTTCTTCAGAGGCAAAGAAACATACTCAAGATTCATACTTACACAATTCAATAATAAAATTTGTTTTAATTCTTACATTTATGAAAAATGCTTTAAGTATTTTGGTCTATAGGTAAACAAATAGAAAACTAAATATGTTTATGTATCATCAACAGAATGCACGAAACAGTCATGGCACATGACAATAGCTAATAATTCCTCGAAAATGCGGCAAAGCTAAAACATTTAGCAATGATAGTAACAAATGAAGATTGCATTCACAAAGAAATTAAGAGCATATTAAATCTGTGCAATGCATGTTGCCATTCAACTTACAGTATTTTATCTTCCTGTCCCCTATCTAAAAGTGTAAAGTTTAAATAATTATGAATCTTATCGTTTTCTCTATAGGTTTGAAATTTTATCTTTCACATAAGGCTAGAGTACAGATAGAGGATGCTTGAGAATAGTGTGCTGAGCAGAATATTTGCAGAAGAATGCACAATGAGTTTCATAATTCGTATTGTTTATCAAATATCATTGAAATCAAGGAAGATGAGGCGAGGTGAGATGAGATGAGCAGTACATGCAGCATTAATGGAGAGATGATCTAATGCATAAAAAACCTGAAGGCAATAGACTGCTTGCAAGACTACAGCCCTGCTGGAATTTGATAATAGCTCATATCAGTGCTCAGTGCCATATACTCTGAAACAGCCTTGGCTGACAATCATGTGTTGGTCAGGCATGTCACCGGCTGTAGGTTTTACTTGCAAGTCCTATTCTACCTTATGTTTCTGGCTGTGCCCTGAATGCTTGAATTTGCAATTGCACATATAGCTATCACATACTCATATGATGATTTGACAACAGTGCAGCATTCTGCCTGAACTGGGACTTGCTGTGTCACACACAAGTACAGCTAAGTATCATCAAACCCTTGTGGAATTGTAGGCATCATATGGAAGGATAATATTAAAACGGATCTTAAAAAGTAGAATATAAGGCTCCATATGACTCAGAAAAGGAACCTGTGGCAGACTGTGAACACAGTAATATAAAGCAGGGTATTTCTTCACTAGCTGAGCAACTATGAGCTTCTCAAGAAGCACTCTGTCCCATGGAGTTAATTCAGATCTTAAGAGCAGCAAGAAAAAAAAAACACTTTAATCTTTTATATATGTTCTGTATATATGTTTTGATGTTTTCACTATGGTGATTGTTGAAATTGCAGTCTTTTGGGTTGTGACCATGTAGTCTTGTAGTCTTAAGGAAGATGGAGGCAGCACATTCCTCTCAAGCATTGGTATCCCACCTAGTAGACTACAGTACAGCATCCTGGCACACAGATTGAGTGTGGTGTGAGGCAGGTCATATGCCAGTGGCATGCACCTCCCTCTTCACCTTCCCATCAGCTTCTAGGCTGTTCTTGAACTGCTCAGCCTGCGCTGCCAGCCAGAAGCTTTGGGAATGACTTCTCCTGGATAAAAGTGTGCAAAGTTCATGAGTGGAGTCAATCTGAGCTAGAGGGAAGCATAGTGTGGACATGTAGATGGACATGATGCAGAGTGCATGCTGTGAAACACAAGCATTGAGTTCAGTGTTGGCAGTGCAGAAAGCAAATTAATGAGTGCAGGAAGGCAGTGCAGCAGCATAAAGTGAAATAGTTGTAGAGTAGACAACTCAAGGTTGAGACTGTAAATGTGGCTATTGACAAACAGAGCCCTGCTTGTCACCTGCGCTGAAACTGGTTCCTTGCTCAGATTATTCTTTGGCCATGAACACAACGGCAACGTTCCTCAAAAATGTCGGTTGACTTTCATTGGAGTACATGGTGTTATGTTCCAGAAGATAACCTCTGTGTGAGAACGTCAAATCATACATCACGAATATTGGTTGTCATGTCAGCCATAACAGCACTACCTAGAGGTACAGGTTATCAGAGATTGAAAACATCTTACAATAAATGAGGATTATTTAATAAATACGAACTTGTTACATACAAGAAAATAATACAGTACATACACTGGGCTTCTGAGAGGACTAAAAAAAATATACACTATATTCAAGAACACTGAATTAGGATTTCAATGTAATATTTGTTGAAGAATATTGTTTGAAGAAAGTGGCAGAATAATCATTTGTGTATGCCACGCTGAATAGAAACATCCAGCATATGACTCTAAAAGGTCTCACTCTTCTTCCCTTGACTATTTAATCTGAAAAGGGCACATATCATTGCTGAAATAAGAGGTCTTTTCTGGCCTGCCATGAGTTCTGGATGTGATAATAAAATAAAAATACTTCTAGTCCTCAGGAATGTCTGTCAGTATACTCAGTGAGCTACCACAGTTCCCATCACAATGCAAAAGTGCGTTGGGGCTGACAGTTTTAGTGATTTCTAATTTGCTTTCTTTACCAGTCTTTTCTGTCAAAGTAATCTTTTAGTGTTGGGATTAACAAATGGCACAAGCAAGTTCCAGACTCTGAGAAATGATAATATGTAAGTCTGGAAGGAATGGAAGTGAACTAAGACTTCATACCGTTTTGCTAAACTCAAAGCCAGTTATCTTGGTTTTTGTAGCATACATTTTTTATAAACAGTATATTATAAACTTTTAACAACATGGTAAAACTCAGAAACTGCAAAAAAACTTAAAAGAAAAACAGAAGATAATATAATATGGGAAGTAAGCAACTATATTCAGGAGACTGCAACACATTTCTCTTATTCATACCTCTAAATTGACCTTATTGTCACATTAATTGCATGATATTCAGCGTCACACAGGGGATTTAAAAGCATCATTCCCTTGTGGAGAATATACCCTTCAACCTGTTTGCCATTGAAATAGCTCACAGCCATATATGAGGTCTCTTCGAGCATCTCAGTGCCATATATAACTAGGAGCTGACTGTTAACAGGCCAGTCAAGACATGTTATTAATGTGGAAGATATGTGTTGACAAATTCTGCCAAAGAAGCAAGGTCAGTCAATGCAATTGCCCCCATCTCTTTTATAGATCCTTTAAGAGCCCTGTCTTCAGCGTCCATCATTTCTTGCTTTTTCTGCTGGGCAGTGCACTCAACTGTTTCTGCTTCCTGCCGCATGAAACACTTGTGACCTTGGTACACCATATACACTATGTGCTGAAACAGAAGACAGATTTCTTTTCATTGAAGTATACTTCCTTTCAAGAAATACAAACATGAAACTGTGTTATGCATGCAGCATTATTTCCAGATCTAAGTTCTTCAAAACTGAGTGGGTACCCACACTTTGTTGCTCTGCTCGCAATGTGGTTCCACCCCACTTTCACCATTATTATTTTCATAACTTTCTGTCAGTGCAACACCTCATATTTAAACAGATAATAACTGTGGCTTCACTGAACCTGATTTTCATCACATTACCCTTCTAAAACACTAGAAAGAAACCAAGGTCAATTTGATGGCCCCAATGGTGCCCCATCACCTTCTGAATGTGAGTGAAAATCTGCCATTTTACACATTATGCAGAGACACTGTATCCATGAGAAACAGTATTCTGCTTCTTGCCAGCCCTTGCCTTTCAACAAGTTAAATATGTATCCAGTTTATTGTCTTCTGTAATGTGATAACCATGTATATTGGTAGATAGGTACCAGTGTTTTGGAGGAGCCCACTGCCTCCATCTTCTCTCCTCAAGATGGAAGTGGAAGGTTCCTTCACTGTGTTCGTACTCATCTACTAAACCATTCAGTGTCACATCCCAGAAGACTGTGATTTGATTACTTGCTGCTAGGATGACCTCAAATCTTAATGCATATCCATCTTGAGCTGACTGCTCACCACCATGGGACGAACTCGTATTTCAATAATGTAAAGCCCATGCTGTGTGAGATCTACCACCATCTCATCTTGTCGCAGAACAGGAGTGAACACAATGTCATAGGAGTTGGCTCGCACTTCTGGTATCAGACATCGGTTCATGATTCTGTCTATCCCTGAAAAGAAAAATCCAATATTAATGGCAATGAATGAGGTTAAAACTATACAAAATACATGGAAACTAATACTCTATTTTGACAAAAATAACTGTCTTTATGTACAATTTTAACTTAAATTTCTTATTTTATAAGGACAGACAGGCTGACAGTATCAGGTCTGTCCCTTTCTAACAACATCTGAACTAGATGACAGATTTTCATGAACTTGGTATGAACATCATGCCACCCCACCTTTGCACTTTTTAATCTTCTACCAACATTGCAGCTGTGCAACCTTCTTATAAAGGAGAGTAACTAGCATCATGCAGTAATGGTCCTTAAATTTTATGTGGTAATAAGGTCTTCAAAAAATTTGGAACTTTGGCTGAGGCCACTTTTTTGTTAATTTTTTTACTTTTTTTTGTAAAACAAAAACAGCAGCTAGGAAGCTATGCACTTTTTAATATTCTACCCACATTGCAGCTGTGCAAGCTTCTTATAAAGGAGAGTAACTAGCATCATGCAGTAATGGTCCTTAAATTTTATGTGGTAATAAGGTCTTCAAAAAATTTGGAACTTCGGCTGAGGCCACTTTTTTGTTAATTTTTTTACTTTTTTTTGTAAAACAAAAACAGCAGCTAGGAAGCTATGCACTTTTTAATATTCTACCCACATTGCAGCTGTGCAAGCTTCTTATAAAGGAGAGTAACTAGCATCATGCAGTAATGGTCCTTAAATTTTATGTGGTAATAAGGTCTTCAAAAAATTTGGAACTTCGGCTGAGGCCACTTTTTTGTTAATTTTTTTACTTTTTTTTGTAAAACAAAAACAGCAGCTAGGAAGCTATGCACTTTTTAATATTCTACCCACATTGCAGCTGTGCAAGCTTCTTATAAAGGAGAGTAACTAGCATCATGCAGTAATGGTCCTTAAATTTTATGTGGTAATAAGGTCTTCAAAAAATTTGGAACTTCGGCTGAGGCCACTTTTTTGTTAATTTTTTTACTTTTTTTTGTAAAACAAAAACAGCAGCTAGGAAGCTATGCACTTTTTAATATTCTACCCACATTGCAGCTGTGCAAGCTTCTTATAAAGGAGAGTAACTAGCATCATGCAGTAATGGTCCTTAAATTTTATGTGGTAATAAGGTCTTCAAAAAATTTGGAACTTCGGCTGAGGCCACTTTTTTGTTAATTTTTTTACTTTTTTTTGTAAAACAAAAACAGCAGCTAGGAAGCTATGCACTTTTTAATATTCTACCCACATTGCAGCTGTGCAAGCTTCTTATAAAGGAGAGTAACTAGCATCATGCAGTAATGGTCCTTAAATTTTATGTGGTAATAAGGTCTTCAAAAAATTTGGAACTTCGGCTGAGGCCACTTTTTTGTTAATTTTTTTTTACTTTTTTTTTTTTTTTGTAAAACAAAAACAGCAGCTATGAAAAATCACCATTAAATTTCCATTTCAACATCATTAGCTTCAGTAAAGTAAGCCTCCAGTTCTGTTCTACTTCATAATACATTCTTTCATCTTCTGGGTTGTCCTCTGCTTGTATCCTGCAGGTTTATATTCTGTAACTCTTTGGACTGCTGTATTTGCTGTATTATGTTTCATTCATAGAAAACATTCATGCCATCTGCTTTTGTGTTTCTATTTTTGTATTATTTCTTCTAATTAGAAATTCCAGGTTAGGTCCAGATCATGTTGTGACATAAAGGCTGAAAGCCAGTGGAATGAATAAAGGCACCCACTGCTAGGCAGTGGCATGGTAATCAGGTGTCCATGGCAACAAGTAAACATGCAACAATAGAGAAACTGTTGGATGTGTGTCTTCTATGCAGTTTGTGCCAAGGCTATATAGTGAGGGCGAATGAGAAGAGTGAGGATTGGTAGGATCAACCGACAGCAGTCGGGTGAGGAACAATTAGCTGCATGACTCCCACAGTTGTGACAGATTAAAATATGGTCCTGAGTCCCATGGGACTTTGAACCAAGTATGATTGTTCTAGTAAGGGCCAGTAGAAATATACCACACAAACTGATGGCAGGTCGTATTGTGACTTTGAGTTTGTCACTCAGTACTGAAGGCTCCCAGAGCCGTCGGAGTAAAATATGGGAGTCCCATGAGACTCAGTACCAAGAACTATTGTGCTGGCAAGGACCAGCAGCAATTTAGCAGCCAACCAGTCAGTCAGTCATGGTTGAAATGTTATGAGCAATTAATCATTAGTTAGAGAATTGTGAGATGGTAGCCAGCTGGTAAAAATGTAAGTATGAAGCTGAAGAATCTCCATTGTTAGATGCATTGTACATATAGAGTTTGGGGTACCCATGAAACTAGTTAGGGTGAGGAAAGTATGCTAAATGAAATGTAAAGTCCATATAGGTAAATATTTGGCCAATAATTTTCCTATCCATAATGGTGTAAAACAAGGAGATTCTTTATCACCATTGCTTTTTCAACTTTGCTTTAGAACATGCCATTAGGAAGGTCCAGGAAATTAAATGGGATACATCAGCTGCTGGTCTCTGCTGATAATGTGAATCTCCTGGGTTATAACGTAGATGGCATAAAGAAAAACAAAGAATCTTTAACTGACAGTAGTAAGCAGGTTAGTCTGAAAGTAAACACAGAGAAAACTAAGTATATGTTGCTGTCTCGTTATCAGAATGCAGGGCAAGATCATGACATAAAGACAGCTAACATATCCTTTGAAAATGTGGCACAATTCAAATATTTGGGAAAAACAGTAACAAATCAAAAGTTGATTGAGGAGGAAATTAAAAGGAGATTGAATTAGGGTAATGCTTGCTACCATTTAGTCCAGAACATTTTGTCTTCTCATCTGGTGTCTAAATAATAAAACAAAAATTAGAATATGCAAAACTGTAATTTTGTTTGTGGTTCTGTATGGGTGTGAAACTTTGTGTCTGGCATTAATGGAGGAACATAGGCTGAGGGTGTTCGAGAACAGGTTACTGAGGAGAATATTTGGTCCGAAGAGAGATGAAGTGATGGGAGGTTGGAGAAAACTGCATAATGAGGAGCTCCATATCTTGTACACTTCACCAAGTATAATTAGAATGATCAAGTCATGAAGGACGAGGTGGGCAGGACATGTAGCATGAATGGGAGTGAATATGAATGCATATAGCATATTGGTGGGAAAGCCAAGAGAAAAGAGACCCCTAGAAAGACCAAGACTTAGATGGGTGGATTACACTGAAATGGATCTTAGATGGGATGGGGTGGTATGGACTGGATTGATGCACCTTAGGATAGGGAGCAGTGGAGGGATCTTGTGAAAACAGTAATGAACCTTTGAGTTCATAAATTGCTGGGAAGTTCTTGAGTAGCTGCACAATTGGTGGCTTCTCAAGAAGGGCTCAGCTCCATGAAGTTAGTTAATCAGTCATTACTTCAGTTTACTCTAAACTGTAGGTGGACAGCTTTCCATTTGACTGTAATGACTATGAAATGTTGACCTCAGGCATGAAAAATTTGGTCTGCAGATAGATTACAGACTCATTTACAGATGTTATGAAACATTGTTACAATTTGCTAACAGTTACACATCTAACACATCAAGAGCTTTTCCAGTTCATATTACATATATATGTAGCAAGACCCATCAAGTGTAACAAGTTTAACAGGAGAATATGGCAGAGGATAGGATTATGGGAAAAATTTACCATGCCAGAAATGGTCAGATTATGAAACATATTTTTTACATCTATTTGCATAAATGCAATAACAAATTAACAGCTGAAAAAGATGTCAATTGAAAAAATTATAAAATAGTTCTCTTCAAAATAGTCATAGCATACACAGAAACAAACAGTGGCCACACAGTCTAAGGCATGAAATGTCTTAGAGTGCTGGGATCGTGTGTTCGAATCCCACTGAAGGAATGCATGCTTGCATTTATTCTGTATTTGTGTTGTCCTGTGTAGGTAGTAGGCTTGTGACAGACTGATCCCCTGTCCAAGGAGTCCTACTGACTGTCTAAGATTAAGAAACTGAAGTGAAACAGCGTTTTACAGATGCCCTATGCTTGAAGTGGGAGCAGCAGGAATAAAGATATGGAGACACACCATCAGAGACATCAGACACACACACATATACAAGGAACTTGCATATCCACAATACCACATACTTCCCGTCCATCATGGCACATCCTACACACTGCCATGTACTTCAACAGATTACAGATAACAGCACCACACAGCTATTCCAAATGAGTAATTAGCATTGTGACGTGGATGGAGCAACGGGAAGTAGGGGTCAAGTGAACTCTGCGGTTTCGCGAGTGATGTCACATACCCCCACCCCTTCCATTATCACGCAACACTTGGTAAACACCATTGCCGCAGTGTTGTTACCAAGGGATACCGCGGTTGCTATGCAGCAATAAACAGATCTCGACAGTGTTGCTAGCAATACCTGTAAACACGGCGTCAGGCAACAGCGGTGCCTGTCACGTAACTGTTTTCTGTGTCGTCCGTGCCGAGCCTAAATAAGGAGCAGCGAACACTATTCAGTAGTGAGTGATTAGTGAGTGTTTAGTGAACCAGTTACTAGAGAGAGAATAACCAGTTAGTTGAAATATAGCAGCCGCCGAAGACAGTTGCAAGTCTAGCATTCGCCGGAGTGAATGGAAACAGTGGAAGTAATTGTGATACTGCAGATGGCAGTAGTGGTGTAATTGTAAATTGTGTGATTGTAAGAGCAAGTGCAATAAATTCGCTATATCAAATAAGGCATGAAGTTACTTGTCATGTGACAGTATTATTAATAATATTTCAATTACAAAAAAGATATAGAACTAAAAAAGTCATGTATTTTTTTCAAATGGACTTACAGCCAGCAACACAAAAGTCTATAAGATAGTCTATATAACCAGCAATAGATAACAAACACTGCTGTCATGTTCCTTTACTTACACATTACATTACATTGCATTGCATTCCATGGATCCAAAGTTAATCAAAATGACTGTAGGGTATGGAATATGTCATATAAATACAAAACATATGTACAGTCCCAATGGAGTTCTCATACAAGAGAAACCAAGAATATACAGTGACTACACACAAGACTATTTAAAGATACATAAGTTATTTTCTAGACAATCGAGACAACACAACACAAGACCTTTCATTTATTTATCTAATTCCTTTTAACACATACAACTTATTTTTGCCCAGTGGATGTTTTAGTCACAATTAAACTATTTTTATAGGGTTGGCTGCTTTCTGATAATGGTAAGCAATGGCCGAAATATATAAGGGCAAACTTTAACATTCTCCTATTAAACTTGTAACATTTGGTGTACCTTTTTTTGTTTTTTTAATTCATGAACTACACACACAGTGATGGTATAAATATTTGAGGTTATGTCTGTAAAATTTAATGTAATCAGAATATTTGTTAGCAGAAATTATATATACAAGCTGACTAATAAACAGTACAATTAGAAGGAGTTGTAAATTGATAATTATCAATTTAGAGCTCCTTCTAGGATTGAAATAAAAACTGAAGCATTTGGAGGGAAGTAGATGCCATAAATTTTCCCAAGAACTTCTGTCAACATTAGCAGTGTAAAATAAGGCTGTCTTTATGTATTTCTTTTCCACTTTGATAGTATAAAATAAGATGTGTGCTTGGATCCAAAGGCATACAATATAAGATGACAAACACCTTTGCTATTACAGTTAACATAACAATAATGTCCTCTCTTTGTCATGCTTCTTCGATAGCTACAATATAAACTCTAAAATTATATTCTAGGAACATCATTACCATTCCTGAACACATCCTTATCCTTACGTTGAAGTCTCACACCTTCAATGATTGAATCTATGGACAGCCCAAAGAACATGCTGCCTTCTATATTGTTATTCAACAGGCCACACAATCTCTGCAACACAGAATTAAATTAGTTTACATTACTAACTCCCTCGTTGGTGTCTCCACCTTATCGTGGTGAGGGGGTTTGAGTATGCCAAGGACCCTGAGAGCTATACCAGCGGTAGCGTAGCTACTGGCAGGGCCTCCCTTGCTGGACAGGTCAAAGGGTAGGCATCAGACGAAGAGAGACACCAAAAACTGATGCCGGAAGCAGCGTCATCAGTAGCGACTTGAAGCACAGAGCAAATGATGCTCGAGATGGTTCAAGTTCGTATAGCAGCAGGCGTGACCAGAGTGGTTTGAACGGCTGCTGTACTGCGATGTGGAAAGCAAATGGAAAAACTACCACATTATCACTTTTCCTGGATAGTCTCTTTCCAAAAACAGAGATACCATATATGCGAGATGTTTCCTCTGGAGGCAAAACAATCCGGAGGTAAACTACTCCCCCAATCGGATCTCCGGGGGGGAGTGTTTCTAGAGGAAATGTCATGCAGGCGTTACAACAAGAAAAAGTGCGAAGATCAGAAGAAACAGCATGGATACAAGATTGGAACATGGAATGTCAGGACCTTGAATCAAGCAGGAAAATTGGAGAATTTGAAAACGGAAATGCAGAAGAATGAAGTGTCTGTGCTAGGTGTCAGCGAAGTGCGGTGGAAAGGACAAGGTGAAATAAGAAGCGGTGATTATACAGTGTATTATTCCGGAGGTGAACGGGCTGAAAGAGGTGTGGCAATAGTGGTGCATAAAAGTGTAGTGAGGAGTGTTGTTAAGAAGATTGCTTGTAATGACAGAATTATTGCTCTGAAGTTAAAGGCGGAACCGGTAGATATACTGATTATACAAGTGTACATGCCAACATCAGAGTATGAAGATGATGAAGTGGAAAAAGTGTATGACACAATTGAAGAAATTCTTCAGGAAGATGGAAGAGGAGACACAAACAGCATCATATTGGGAGACTGGAACAGCATTGTTGGAGATGAACCATATCAGAATATTGTTGGATCACATGGACTAGGAAGACGGAATCACAGAGGTCAAATGCTTATTGACTTTTGTGAACGAAATGGATTGATTGTTACCAACACTTGGTTCAAGAAGCCAAAGAGAAGAATTTACACATGGAAGGCACCTGGGGATTGGAAGAGGCATCAGCTGGACTACATCCTTGTGAAACATCGATTCAGAAACAGTGTGAAGGATGTGAAGACGCTTCCTGGGGCAGACATTGACTCTGACCACAACTTGCTGGTTGCCAAGTTCCGAACCAGGTTGAAGAAAATTATAGGATTTCGAAAGCGCAGACCCAGATGGGATTTGGAGAAGTTATATGCTCAAAGACAAAGCGTGCAAGAGACTCTAGAAGAGAAACTCGGTGCAATTGAAGGTGAAAGCGGAAATGCTGAAGCGCAGTGGAACGATATAAAAGAATGCATGTTAGATACTATCAGTGATTTGGTAGGTAAAGTTGAGAAGATAGCAAGAAAACCATGGGTTACACAGGAGATGATGAGTAAAATGGAGGAGCGAAGGAAATGGAAGAATGTCAACAATGAAGAAGGCAGGAGGAAATACAGGAGACTGAGGAATGAATTGAAAAGAGCCACGGACAGGGCCAAAAAGGAATATCTTGAGAAGATATGTAATGAGATTATGGAATTTCAAAGAACAGGCCGTTATGATTTGATGTACATGAAGACAAAAGAACTAGGATGGAAAGAGAATCATGGGATTCAAAATGTTGGCATCGAAGACTCCCAGGGGAATAGAATAGTAGATCAGAGGCAAGTGCTGAAAATTTGGGAAAATTATATTTCAGAACTATATGATCGACCTAATCGGCCAGAAACCTTAGAAGTTGAACCGGAAGAAGAAGTAGATACAGACGAGAAAGGACCATATATTTTACAAAGTGAGGTGGAAAAAGCTATCAAGGAAATGAGGAAGGGAAAGGCTACAGGAGATGATGATGTACCTGGAGATGTGCTCAAGTTACTGGGAGAAGGTGGTTTGAAAACACTGACAAAACTAATGAACACCATATATGAAAGTGGAGAGTGGCCCAAGGACTTTACAGAAGTTACAATGATTGCCTTAAAGAAAAAGACAAAAGCTACAAAATGCAGCGACCATCGCACAATAAGTCTTATTGCACATACAGCAAAGATAATAGCAAAGATACTTAAAAGAAGAATTGAAAGGAAAATAGAGGATGTACTTGGAGAAGATCAGTTTGGATTTAGAAGAGGAAAAGGAACCAGGGATGCAATTGGGATGATGAGAATTATAGCGGAACGAACTTTGGAGATAGATGAAGAACTGTGTGTTTGCTTCATAGACTGGCAGAAGGCATTTGACCGGGTAAACTGGACCAAATTAATGCAGATCCTGAAAGAAACAGGTATCGATTGGCATGAAAGAAGATTGATTAGCAAATTGTACATGGATCAGAAAGTTAGAGTACGACTGGACAGGGGGGAGACAGGAAGTGTGCAGATTGGAAGAGGAGTTCGACAAGGATGCTGTTTATCACCAATTCTGTTCAACTTGTACAGCGAATGCCTTACCAAGGAAGCTCTGGATGGGCTCGGTGACTTCAAAGTAGGAGGGCAAATTATTCAAACTGTGAAATATGCAGATGACCTTGTGTTAATGGCTAAGGAAGAAACTGTGCTACAGGGCATGATTGATAGACTAATTGAAATTGGAAGGTGCTATGGCATGGAAATGAATGTGGAGAAAACAAAAGTAATGAAAATTTCGAGACAACCAACCCCAGTCACAATAAAGATAGACCAAAAACAAGTGGAGAATGTGAAATGTTTTAAATATTTGGGTAGCTTGTTAACAGATGATGGAAGGTGTACTTGTGAAATTAAATCCAGGATTGCCATGGCAAAAGCTGCATTTAGCAAGAAGAAGAATCTTTTTACCAGCAAATTGGACTTAAATTTGAGGAAGAAACTAGTGAAATGCTACATTTGGAGCATAGCTCTGTATGGGGCTGAAACATGGACACTTAGGGCAGTAGATCAGAAACATCTGGAAAGTTTCGAAATGTGGTGTTGGAGAAGAATGGAGAAGATCAGTTGGACCGATTATGTGAGAAATGAAGAAGTGTTAATTAGAGTCAGTGAGCAGAGGAATATCCTACATGAAATAAGAAAACGGAAGGCTAATTGGATTGGTCATGTTTTACGCAGAAACTGCCTTCTAAAAGAAGCTATCGAAGGAAAGATAGATGGGCGGATAGAAGTGACAAGAAGACGAGGAAGAAGACGTAAGAAGATGCTGGATGACCTTGGGGACAGAAGAGGATACTGTCATTTGAAGGAGAAAGCTCTAGATCGCATTAAGTGGAGGAATTGTTTTGAAAGAGACTGTGGACCTGTCGTCTTGACAGATTACTGATGATGATGATGACATTACTAAGAATATATATGATCAGCACATCAGCTACTTAGACATTTGGTTACAAGAGAAGTACGATGGGAAGTCATAAAGTTTTAATTATCATCATGAGAAAATCATAATTCCAAAATATCGTTCTATATAGGAGATAGCCCATTTCCTGAGCTTGCCGAATAGTCAAATTTTCCCGTGCCAAGCAGACAGAGGGAGCCACCGGAAGGGGCAGATGCAAAATGGTTGACATTGGTTGAGAAAGTGAAGGCTCGTGCTGCGATATGGTGCCTGCATTTGCAAGGGAAGTCTGCCAGGGAGATCCATGACCAGATGACCGCTGTGTATCAGGAAGGTGAACCATCATATGACACAGTGGTCAGGTGGAAAAGGCGCTTTCATTGTGGACAGACAAACCTTGGAGATGAACCCCAAAGTGGAAGACCATCTCTCGCTGAGAAAACGGGAACTGTGGCACAGGTGGAAGCTTTGATCCTATCTGATAGGCACATAACTATAGAAGCTATTGTCCGTGAGGTCCCATTAGCCATGGGTTCGTTTTCAACATCATCCATGACGAGTTACACATGACAAAGGTCGTTGCACATTGGGTGCCACGATTGTTGACACCAGTTCAAAACCAGCAATGGATGGATGTGGCAAAGAAACTTTTGCAGTTGTATGAAGACAAAAAGGTGGAACTTTTCAACTGCCTGATCATGATGGATGAATGTTGGGTCTATCATTATGATCCTGAAACAAAGGAAATGAGCTAGCAGTGGAAACATGCAGACTTGACACCACCAAAGAAGGCCAAATCCCAGCTGTCGTCAGGAAAGGTGATGTTGAGCGTGTTCTGGGATCATCATGACCGACTACATGCAAAAGGGCGTCACCATCACTGGCGAGTACTACCGGAGCCTTTTGAGAAAATTATGGGAGAAAATCAAGGAAAAGGGACGTGGAATGCTGGGAAATGGTGTGGACTTCTTAATGACAACGCACAATCTCATGCTGCTCATGCTATGACACTTGCTGCCAGTTTGGGTTATGAAATTCTTCCCCATCCACCATATTCACCAGACCTGGCACTGAGCAACTTCCTCTTTCCACAGTCAAAGAAGCCACTTCATGGTAAGCAATTCCAAGACAATGATGACATCATTTCTGCAGTGGAGGACTTCCTAAACAGTCAAAATAAGACCTTCTATGATCAGGGTATCCAGCAGCCAATGCACTGTTGGGGAAAATGTGTGACCTTGCAGGGGGCATATTCAGCCTTTAGGTTTCAGCATCACAGTTAGCTGGATAATGGTTATGACATTTTTTAATCATACTGAACTAATGAGTTAGAAAAAATGTTACTAGACAGTATTCATTGTGTATATGTCACATCAAGTCTCATACTTTTGCATCTACTGTCTCCAGCATGTACCTGTGCAAGCAGGACCTCCTTCATTTCCCACAGTTTCTTGTCTAGGACCAGATCATGAGTCCTGTCAGGTTTCACAGCTGCTTTAGTTCCATATATCACATAATCAGTTTCTGAGTCAAAACTCACTTCCTCTATTTGTTTTGTCACTAAAAAACACAAAACACAAGCAATCCATTCTATCAGTACAACAGTACATCAGTAATACAAATTTTAAAGAAGGTCTTTCACTTTATTCAAAGTTATTAGGGAGGGACACCATATGACTGTCATTCCATATAATATAATGAAAGGAAGCTAAAGATGAATAACTCTCAACAAACCACCATGAAAAGTTCACAACTTTGAACATGTATAATGTCTGCAAATGCAACAAACCTCGTTCTGTGTCACCCTCTGGAGAAGGAACATTACTGCACACAATGAGATCATGATATGTTGCTGCCACACAGTTCTGGACTGAAGTTGGAGGCTTTAGTGTATTAAACTTAGACAATCGAAAAGTAGTCTCTCTCGGCTGACCTCCGTGATGTATTTTTGTCTTACCATCACCACCACACCTGGACATTAACAACCTGTCTGCTGCTGGTTCTGAGTCAGTTTTGGTGCTTGCCTGAAAGCCATCAATATGCAGTTCCTCAGAATCAGATTTGCAGTTGCAAACAAAGTTATGATTGAAATTTGAACAAAGATTACTCCTCTCTGGTACCTTGCCCATATGAAAATAATCTCCATTTTCTTTCTGCTGTTTGCCCAATGTTTCAGTTCTCGTTCTCTCTGGCTCAGCCTTGGTTTGTGTTTCCAGCCTACTCTTAGGGTTGTCCTCCTTTGGGTTAGCCTGTTGCTTTTCCCCCAGTTCACTGGTGGGGCTGATTTTACACATTTCATGAAGAGACTGTTCCAAATGTTTCTGCATGCTTGACTGTTGGTGTGTGAAATGAGATTCATTCCTATATTCCTGTTTTGAATCCCTGTCATGTTTAAGCAGCCTCCTTTCACCACAGCTAAAACCACTTTGATCACTGACTCTCATCCTGTCCCTATACCTCATCGCTTTCTTGTCACCCATTTCTGATCTGCTATGATGGAGATATGTCCCATGATGCCTTTCATGCTGCCTTCCCCAGTCATGTCTGTATGTCTGCTGCTGGCCATATCTGCAGAGTCATGATATACAAACATCAGTACTTAATTTATATAATTTGGGGTTAAACCCAAATTATTTGTCCCAAAATAATTAAATTACTTTTTTTATGTTTTATTCAAAGAATTCTAATAGAGTAGCTGTTAATTACAGGGTTACTGCATCAGAGTTTCAGCAATCCCTCACAAAGTATGGGGCTTATATTCTTGAGCAACTATCCCACTGGCAAAACCAAGCCTTACAGAAAATTAGGAGTTAGTGGTACTGCAGCCATTGTTAAGTAATTAAAGCCTAAGTTGCCTGTAACCTTGCAAACACAAACAATATCATATGTAATTTCACATTTAAAAATTAAAAACTGTCACAAAAAACAGAACATGGTGTTAATCTCGAAAAGTGATTTCTGAGGTCATTACAGCTCTGCCCCAATAAATTTTGATCTCATAATACAGAAACTATTGATTTTCTCTGTGTGTATATGGAAATAAAAATCATATAAACCATACACATAAAACCAAATACCATGCCTGGCAAATTGCAGTTTGAAAGGGATTTCTGTATCCATTTCACAAAATTTATTTTGAACAAATTAATTATCCTAGATAATTATATTAGTATTAACTGAAAGAGCAGCTAAGAGTATGTTCTTTTGTAGACTGGCAAATGATGTATGTAATGAGAGAAAACATTACTATTACAAATATGACATAAACACTTCCTGATAGATGGACTGACCATGAAAGCTCTGAATCATGGCACCATAAGTCATGGAGATCTGTCTTCTATGGACTAGGACATTTTTATACGACTCAGTCGTTGTGAGCTGTTGCTGTTAGAAGCTGGTAGCTGAGGTTGGGGACCATTCAGGAACGCAGAGGAACATCCACCATTGGAAGCCACTACCAAACAACAGCTAGTGGAGACTATAGCACTAGAGAGAGAGAGAGAGAGAGAGAGAGAGTGTGTGTGTGTGTGTGTGTGTGTGTAATAGTGAAGTGTAAAGCGTAGTCACACATTTATGAAAGAGACTAATCAATCTGAAACACATCTAAAGATCGTGACTATACGTTAGATGTAATTTTACCTGAAACTTTCTCTATAGTTGTATGGTGTTTTTGTAGATTTGCCACCTAAAAGAGATACACATCTCTCCATCAACTGTTTCCAGAGACATTTCTTGTTACAAAGGAACATCTGGAGTACTGTAAATGGAAATCAATATATCATAAAGAGTTGCACACTTTGTATCAAATGATTGAACCTCAGTATGCCCGTGCCTGGCCAACTTCTGTTTTCTGTTTCATGTATTCTGCTGAAAGTCACCTCATGTTTCAGAGGAACATCAGTTGACTTTCAACAGACTACACAGCAATAAAACTGAGGAAACAGAAATCTTCATAACCAACGCCATGATAACTTCAAATCCTAAGTTAGTTCCTGTTTTTTGGAACTATTAACAGTGATTCCCATCATAGTCTGTATGATTATGAATTTTCTATATAATGTATTGGGATATTCAATAATAAGTATAGAATATTTTCTTTCAAAATTAATATAAATTTTGTAATCCAGAGTACTTATCACTGAATGTAGTTTGTCATACTTTGTGCTTAATGAAGTGAATGGCTGTGGGCTGGATAACCAGCATTCAATCTTCAGCAGGAGAGGGACTTTTCTTTCCACCATTCTGTCCTGCTCTGAGGTGTGCAGCCTCCTAATCAACGGATACCGGGGTCTCTTTCCCTGTAGTTAAAGTTGCTGGAGAATGAAGGAGCTACTGCCTCCTTGTTAAGACTGCAAATGCTCTACCAGAGACAGGCCAGCCATGGGTCAGATATGATATGTGAAATTTTTCTATTTGGTCTGCAGAGCTACTGTGAAAATTTACCTATAATCTTACTTCTAATTTATATCCACATTATCCTTTAAGAGACGGGTCATTTAAATTCCAGTAATGGCAGCAGGCCAAAATTAATTTAAATGCCTGCCACTGTAGAGTATTAAAAATTGTAAGCATGTTACTAAAAATTCTGTGATTTCTACAATTTTTGTGATAAACGAATGAAATAAATGTTGCTTTTATCTAGAAAAAATATAGAATCAGATATTGTAATTTACAGATTTTAAATCTGTAAAAATTGTTACACTGATTCCAAAAAGAAACTTTTCCCAATTTTGAGTGTCTGTCCACAAATATGCATACAGTTTCTGCAGTATAAATGCATGCTGCTGACAGCCTGTCTTACTATGTCTTATCTGGCAAAAGGGGTGGAAGTTTATGTTTGTATTGCACATTCTCCAGTCACGTCGGAACCTTTCTGTATGCACGAGTGTGGTCGAAGTCTTATCGTACTTTGTCCTTCAGAAATTCTGACTGTGTATATCTCGGACTAGCCACACAGAGGTACTGTTCTCGGAATAGCCCTGCACTGCCAGAACGTTCAAGCCTAGTGCGTTGTGTATAAAACATTGCAATTTCAACTATCCACCATGGCCTCATTTCGCATGGAAGAAGCCGAAATTGAGAGGCAGCTGATAAATGACACTGATTCAGACTGAGGTACAAATGACTCTGAAAGTGGCAAGGAAGAAAGGGGCTCAGAAACCGAAGTCAACAAAGACCCATCATCTTCGTCGGCAACCTGGGGACCACCAGACCAGCATGGCAGGAGGGGTGTGAATAATTATTCCGGTGGAGCTGTGGGGTTAAATATCAATGAAGCTCCACACGTAAATAAGGATTCCACCCCTTTCTGCATTTTCATGCTCTACTTTGCAGGGATTGTCTGTCTGCTGGTGGAAGAGACGAACAGGTACTACCACCAGTACCTAGACAGACTTCAAGACGGACCTTCTCCACAGCCTGACGTGACCGATTCCGAGATGTTTCTGTTTCTAGGAATAATCTTTCAAATGGGACATGGCATTAGAGACAGACTAAAGGACTACTGGTCGACTGTAGACCAATTTGCCATGCCTTTCTACTTTAATACAATGAAACATGACCGTTTTCTACACATTCTTCATTTTCTTCATTTTGCAGACAACAATACAGAAACTGACAGGAATGCCGACAGCTATGACCAACTATGGAAAATTCGGACCATCTTCGACACTCTCAATGATGTATATGAAAAATATTATAACCCTTCCGAACATTTGGCCATAGATCAGATAATTGTTAAATTCAAAGGGATGGTGGTTTTTAGGCAGTACATTCCTAAGAAACACAAATGTGTTGGAATCAAAATCTTCAAAATTTGTGACACCGCTGGGTATACTTATGTCATGAAGGTTTACCTAGGAAAAGACAGGACACGTGCCAGCCAAGATGTGACAGCAACACATGCTACAGTTAGGTACCTATGCAGACGTACTGAGGGCATAGGTCACAAGCTGTACATGGACAGTTTCTTTTCGTCACCAGTCTTATTTGACATACTGATGACAAAGGACATAACCTGCTGTGGGACAGTCAGACCTAATCGGAAGGGCTTGCCTGACAATTTTTGACGAAGACAATTTCAAATGAAGAAAGACATTCATGTTAGGGTGAGACGGAACTTGACAACACTAGTTTGGAAGGACAAACATGACGTTTACATACTGACAAACATGCACTGTCCTCCAGCAGAAGGCAGTTTCTGTGATGATCATGGAAATGCCATCAAGCCAGCAATTGTTGTTGACTACAACACGCACATGGGTTATGTCAACAAAGCGGACAGAATGGCAAACAGCTATAGCATCAGTCGTCTGACCTGGAAATGGACAAACAAACTATTTTTCCATCTCCTGGATCTGATGATTCTGAACAGTTTCATCCTGTTGTCATCCTGTGGCGCGAAATTGTCACACAGAGAATTTTGTCTCGCCCTTGTGCACAACATGCTGGAATATGCTGCAAGGGGTCCACCTTGCCCTCAACGGTTCATGGGGTCGACCTCCTGCTGTGTCATCAGCGATATGTCGATTAGAGGAGGCCACTCGACATCACTGGCCAACTTCCTCTAATACGAGACTGAGGTGTCGCGTGTGCTCTTTGCGTGGGAAACGGAGTTACATCTGGACAAAGTGCATCAAGTGCAATGTCGGACTCTGCATTTCCGGATGTTTCCAACAGTACCACACGAAGGCAACATTCAGTTAGATGACAGAGGAGGGAGGACTGTCTACTTATAAAGCTGGAGCCCAAAAATAATGTAAGTAGAACAAGAATTTCTGTCTTAAAATTAGATTTTAAAACACTGTGAGCACGCGTGGACTGCGCATATCCATATGGTGTCACACGGCCACTCAGCTGCACTTTAAAAGTCTCCATACAGTGTCGCTAGGCTCTTAAAGGCTATATAAATGTCTCAAGCACTACAGTAACATGTATTCCCACTGGAATGCAAGAAGTTTATTTCATGCAATTTTTGTAGCAGTAAATATTTGTTCTCCATACTAAAGAACACTTCAAAATAATGCACCACTGATCTCTTTCTAACCTGGTGAAACTCATGTAACATCTGTCAACCCCTTTACCATACCCATGCTTTGCTAAGTGGAAATTGTACCTTTGCACAGGCCAAACGTAATCTGGCACATGGGACAGCTCACACAGTAAAATGGTGACAGGCTGGGCAACTAGAATTTAATCCCTGGTGATGGCAGTATTTTTCCCTTTGCCACTGCATTCAGGCTAGTACTGGGGCCCACTAAGCCCCATGTTCAGTGGGTACCAGAAGCAGAGAGGCTGTAATATGAAGCTGGCCACTCAGATCTATCTATTGGGTGTAATTTTACCCCTACAGCTCCACAGCCATTCATGGCATGGTGCTCTGGTGATTGAGAAATGTTATCTTTGCTTATGCAGCCTTACCTCTTGAAGTCCTTCTATTGTCAGACGAGTTTCTCACATCTTCCTTCTGCTCTAGTATGGCCTGGAGTATCATCACCATCTGCTTTATCTCTTTTTCCATCAATTCTGTACAACTACAGAGATCTGCTGTGTAAATGTGGACATAGCGCTCCAACTTGCCTGACAACAGACAGTAACAAACATTGTTTCTCAGACTGATCACTCCTGGGTCTTATCCTTGTCACAGACAATTAGCAATATTATGACCACTGAGGTAAAGGTACGTAAATTATATTTCCCATTTCACCTCTGACTATGGAGGTAACATATTTCTCTGAACTGTCAGTATCACATACAAGACTACAGAGTCACAACACAGGAGACCAAAACCAAAAATACCATTCCCATTTCGGAATGTGTTTGTGTATGTGTTATTCACATATCCATTAGAGGCGCTCGATTTATGCAGCTTATTTTTAATTACAGATGAATTCCAGTGGTTTAATGTCTGAACACCACAGCTGCTGTAGGACTGGTCAGTTACTTCTACTGTAATCTTCTGGAAAAGTCTTGCCTAGGAATTTTCCTATAGTGTGACATAATCATATTGCCCCCCACTATTTTGCTTTAGCTGAACAAACCACTATAATGGCAGCATTCTACATTGAGATTTGTATTTTGTGCTAGGTTTTGCAATGGACAAGATAATTTATGAATGTTCTGTACTTTTATGATAGCGTGTAAAGTAGTATTGTTTACATGTTCACAAATGTTTTATGGATAACTGATAAATATATTTAGGTACATCTTTCAGTATTATGTGAGCACCTGCTAAGCTTCATCCCGTCTCCTTGCCCATTTGCATATTGTAAGTGATGAATATTGGATGAATATATTTTTATAAAATTTGGCACTTAAAAAGAGTCCGCTCTAAAATTGTTTTACAAAAGGCCTCAGTACCACTCACACATAATTTATAATAAATACTACATAAGTTAAACATGATTAGGACAAAGTTATAAATTACTTTACCAAGAAGGGTCACATCAAATTGATGGTTCACCAGAAACTCGACAACATCTCTGGAGTTCTTTGCAAGACACAGAAGTAGATCCAGAAATGCAACCCGGATTATTGCTTCTGGATACTGAAATGACAATTGAGATCAGAGTTCGGTGTCATTCCTTCACACCCAACAGGATAAAGCATCTACTANGTTGGATATGTGGCTGTTGTGGTGGTGGCACTAGTGGCCTTTGTTGTGATGGTGGTTGTAATAGTGACCACTGCCACAAGGACCACACCACTACCACCACAACTGTGGTAGTCATCGTCATCATGTTGGCAGTGGCAGCAGCAGTAATGTGTCACATGTTTTGAGGAAACAGTTCACGTCTAGGCATCTCTGTTTCTCAAGCTGAGCATCCACCTTATCAGTTAGTCTTATATATAACAAATAATCAGTCTCCTTTTATTCCAGCAATCATTATCTCTCCTCAATTACAGATTCCCAGAAATAAATTATACAGTACAGACATGATCAAAATAAAATATGTTCTTTTTTCATAGTGTAACATGTAAATTGAATTTAATTGAATTGAATTTATTTACATTCTATAAATCCTAAGCAGGTCAGTACCTTTGGATACAGAAC